GCTGTCGGAACGCGAAGAGTATTCCACCAGTGGGTGGTGGCCCCGATACCCACACGCGCATGTGGCGGCAAGGGCGTCGTGGTTGTGCACGACGAAGAAACCCCACCACGCCATCGCTGTCAACGCAGGGTGTCCGCCGAGCAGGGCAGTGGAAATCGCGGGGCGGCTCGCGGCGGCAGTGCTGGGCTACTACTGAAAAAACCGCCATCCGGCCGGGGTTGGGGTGTCGGCAACGAAACCCGGGATCGCGGGAGCGGCAGCGGCGGCGGAAGGAGCAGCAACAGGGGTGGCGGCTGGGGTAGCGGCGGCCGGCCACGAGGTTGCCGGCGCGGCTGAGTGCAGAGAATATCCTTACCCGGAGACAACGTGTCTTGCGGGCTCGGGTGGGGGAGGCGACTCTGGAGCTCCAGCGCCTCCTCCTGCGGCGTACCCTCCTCCACCTTGATAGTCGAAGCAGGTGGGTACCAAGCCGACGCGAGCGGCTTCTCCTTGGGCGGATGAACCTGCAATCATCGTTTCCGTACTCTTGCGAAAACCCAGAAGCCGCACAGAGGTGTTAGAAGCACGTTCCCGTTGGGTTTACTGTAGTTCTTGAGATCTGCTCCATGCACATCAGTTATCACCCCACAACATGCGAACGAAGAAAGCAAGACCTATCAACGAACGTTTGTGTTTGTAAGACAAATGACCACTTCCGACATCTGCTACCCTGGTCGGGTGCATCCCACACTGTAGTTTGCCTCGTTACGGGTACGTGGGATTGTCTGCTGTAGTTTCTCGTTACGGGTGGCAAGACAATATTTCCCACATGACGATCGTAGCCTGCTGATGTAAAACGATTGCGTCAAGAGGTGCGCCATCGCGCCCTGAGACGTGCCTTCATGGAACGCTAGGAGTTCCGTGGCCCTTGTCAGATATACTCCCGAACACGAATGATGTCCAACCACTACAACCTCCATGCCCCTACGCTTGTGAATGGACTAAACCGCCCGACTATTACTTGTTCACCTCTTTGAAGCCCAAATCAAACCATCAGACTAGTCGGTGGTTTGGTTCGGATTCAGAAAACGGTAGTCGTTTGGTCCGAATGACGCGGTATTTCCACTCCTAGAAGAGTGACTCCCCTCGCCAGCGCCGCAGCCAATGTCGTTTTCACTCCATTTCGTCCACTATTCACCTACATCCTGCAGAATATGCTAAAGTCTCACACGACTTTTCCCGTCACCAATACTCTGGCCAAGAGTGTCCAGGGTGGCTGACTCAGTAGTTTAATGGTTTCGTTTCTGGCTCCTTGTAGCAGTTGGCCGTCTGTCGTGTGGGTTTATGCGGTTCGAAACCAGGCCTGCAATTCAGGCGTGTTTTTTGCCGAGACCCTGGATACTCTTAGCCAGAGTATAGTCTAGGTGGCGGAAAGACTCGTGTGATACCCTGGAACAAATTCTGCAGGATGTGGGTGACGAGCGGAGAAATTGAGTGAAAACGACATTGGATGGAGAGCAGCGCTGGCGAGCAGGGGTTTCATTCTTCTCCGAGGAGTGAAAATGTCGGGTCATTTGGACCCTACGGCTAACTTTTTCAATGAAAGCCAACATCGAACTGTTTACATGTACACTCTATCTAGCTAGTCTCTGATAGTTTGATTTAGGCTTCAATAACCTCCAACAACAATTCAAAGTCGAAATTGGCCATGCATTGTTGTAGAAAGAAGAAAATACGTACACTGAGTTTATCAAATGGTTCGTTTCGTCTTGTACGACCTTCAAATGTTCGCGCTACATATCTGACCAAGCGCTTTAAGTTGGGTCGGATGAACACACTACTGTCAAGATGATACATATGCCCCTACACACTCCGTTGCCTCTTAACACTCCGGTCATATGCAACAACAACGATACTCCGGTACATGTTGTTTCTGCAAGTGTCGATCAGGTCAGGATCCGGCCACATGCTCTCACCCCAACCTTGTCATCAATGACACTTTTCATCCACGACCTCTACACCTTTGCCTCTTCGGGCTGATGCTCCGTCGGAACCTAACCAGTCTGGTGAGAGTGCTGTCTTGAGGTGTGGAAACGAACCGTAGGACCTTCGGGGCCATCGAGTGCCGCTCCCTTTTGTCGGGTACCGTTCGTTCACTCCCCCCATTGTCTGCAGATAAGACCGGCTGTAGCCATGCGCTTTGGACAATGATGAGGAATTGCCTGAATTGGTTACCTCGGGTGAATCTTCGGATGCGCTCAATTCGTCTGTGCTCGCTTCCGTTGAGGGTCCGCCCTCGATCGTAGCGCCGGTAGCTAACTTGGCTGGTTCCGACCGGCAAGTTTTAGGGTCCAACTCGCCTGGCTTTGAATCTCCTTCTCCCGCTGGTTTCGACAACCGAACAGATTACGCCACGCGACATTTCGACCATGGGTCGTCGTTTCAAGCTCTATCTCTTCCGACTCAATCCTCACCTCAAAGCGCCTGATATTGGGCAACCGCGACCGGCGTCGACAGTGTTGACACCACCGCTCCTGGAGGACTCTTCCGGAGTGACCTCCGAACAGCCGGTGGTCTCGCGTACCTTGTCACGGGGCAACGGCCAGGAGCACCACGCCCAGTCCAGTTCGTTGACCGAGTCGGCGGTGGCAGCCGTTGCCAGCGAAAGCGGCCTGTTGCAGGACCCCTGATGAGGCGTCATTTCAGGTCTAGAATTGGGCTGCTAGCATCACGTTGCTGGCCCAATTATTGCGGACAATTCGACCCCGGCCGATTCTTCACCAGTCCTCACCATCACCGGGGCTTTTCCCACGCGTAGTCATACCGTCAACGGAAACACGGGCGTTTTGCCCACCACAGCTTCGGCTGCACCCCAGCTTTGGCTGACAGCACTCAGGCGCTCCAGCCCCTGCAGCTCCGACTGTTTTCGACCCGTCTACAGAGTATTGTTTTCCAGACATGGTTTCCTATTTGAAAACCCGTTATCCGTTTTCCCAATGGACACCGTCGACTCTTTGTGGTCTATTAATTACTTGTGTGCTGAACAGTTTTTTGCTGCGGAAAAGCCCGACTTTTCGAGGACCACAGAGCGTTGCAGAACATCATGCGAGTATCGCGACCCTGCCTTGGACAAGAAGTTTGGCCGCGACGTCCGTGGTTTCGACCAACCTATTTGAGAACGAGAGCGCGAAAACATTGTGCTCACTGGCTCGTACACAAAATTTAGTCAAATTCCGAGTTACGAGATCATCTTGTCGGATCTGGTGGCAAAATTCCTACCCGAAGCCAGTCCCTTCGACCGTATTTTGGGGCGTTGGCCTTCCGGCCGATGATCCCGACGCTCGATCTACATGTCGATGGTGCGGCCTCCATTTGTTCGGCAACGCCCTCCAATGAGTACGCAGTCTTTCACGACAAAATGCCCCGCCTCCCGAGTGCAGCTCTTGTTTGCCGCCTTCTGCTGATCACGTTCCGACGTCATCTCTCCATAACTCGGTGTAGAACGTTAACCCTTCCGCGCACCAGCGTCTTCGGACGGCTTCGCGCCCTCCATCGACTGCACGATTCATGTCATTTCGCAATACGCTTTCCAGTGTTCCGTCAGACCATGACACCGCCGTTTGGGCAGTGTCTTCCAGGTGCGTACACCATCCTCTCCCTCCTCTTCGGTCCTTGAGCAAGGTCCGGACTTGGTTGGTGGTGTTGCTACGATAGATGACGATTTTTTCACCACCCAAATCCTCACTCACAGTGGTTCGGCCCCTGTTCAGTTTGGATGTGTTGCACTATTGGACACGGGTTCCCCGCCGTTTTTTTAGTTGTGCTTCCACGTGGGAATCCATCAAAGCGACTTCGGCTGCCTCATCGTTGTCTGCGAAACAAACTCAAACTCGCTGTTGGGGTGGTTTCGGCAAATCAGCGCCGCTTCAATTTTCGACTACTACCCGTCTGATCGTCCAGTTCCCCCGGAAGAGTTTTCCTACTTCCTCTCTCGCTGTCCGGATGGTGTTATGCATCATGACGTGCTTCTCAGCAGAGACAGCTGGATGCGGTTTAGCGACCGCTCTTTCAGCACTTTGCGTGCGAAGCTTCTTGGTGACCGTGAAGCTTGACTAGTGGATATGCTTCCACAATGCGCTATATTTTTCTTCAGAGGAACATTTCGTACAGCATGGCTGTCGACGAATCCCGCTCGCGGGCATCTATTCTCTCAAACCAGGAGACATCTTGGGTACAGCTTCGGCTCCCCGTCTCCAATTGTCTCTTAGCGCTGTGTCCCGACACAGTTTGAGCGACGGTCTTCAAACTACCGCTCGAGATTTCACCGCTGCTTCGGGCAACTGGGTCCGGGTCCTGTTCCGACAGGTGGCGATAATTCGTCTGCCATGCATTCCATTGCTGACCCCTTCGTGGATAATCTACATTAGCGACCCACGCCGTCGCAAAGTGGCAAAGAGGATCCTGGTTCCGCCGGTGCTTCCCGATCGTCGCCTTCGAATGCTCTTGTCGAGCGGTTAACGCCAGAAAAACGTCAGATTTTTTCCTGAGTGTGGGATAAGCTCCCCTGCCATCTCCGTGAGATTTCTTTTGATCTCCATGGTCACTTTGGATCTTGCTCGCTCTTTCTTTTCAAGCTTTCAGTTCCTCCTGGCAGTGCACTCGTCACGTCTCGCCGATACCCCGTTAACCCCCCGGTGGTGAAACAGGTTGACGCATCCTTGATCAATATCTTGCGGCTGGTCTGACACAACATTCGACCTCGCCCTCCTCGAGCCCTTTGGTTGTCAAACCGAACAAATCTGGTGGTGTTCGCATCATGGTCAACTACCGCAAGCTCAAGAAGCTCTGTACCTTGAACCTGCTTCCCATTCCTCGAGTTGATGATACTTTGGACAAGTTGTTGAAAGGGCGACTTTATTCCCTTCTGACATGAAATATTCGTTCCACCAATCACGATTCGCCGTGATACAATCCTTTTGACGGCATTCGTGAAGTCCTCTGAGCTTTTTGAGTGGTTCAAGATGCCTCAAGGCAGCTCTGCTGCCCCTGGGTGGTTTTGCAAAGTCATGCAGGAGGTCATTATAAATCTCCTCAGTTTTGCATCGTACGTGGATGATTTGACCGTCTTGGATGGCACTGCTGCTTCTCGTGTTGGTGCCACTCGCGCTCTTTTTGAACGATTGCGCACACACAACTTGAAACTCAAGTCCCCGAAAGCCACCATTGGCGCTACAGAAGCGAACGTCCTCGGCTTTACCATCTCTCCCGACGGTGTTAGGCCAAACGGTGCCAAGGTTGCGGCCCTCATCAATATGCCTATGCCCAAGGATATCAAGCACCTCCGTTCTCTTCTCGACGGCCTCAGCTACCACCGCAAGTTCCTCCCCAACACAGCTACACACATTCGGCCTCTGACCACTCTCCCCAAGAAGCAGGTGAAGGTCCTCTTCACCCCTTCTATGGAGCAAGCCGTTCGCGTCCTGTTGTTCGAATTGGCCAACCCCCCTGTTTTGGTTTATCCAGATCGGGATGCCGTTTCGGACGGCTCGCGACCTTTTCATCATTACAGTGATGCTCATAGCGATGGGTTCGGAAGGACTCTGAACAAGAACGGCCGGGTGGCTCCATCCGACCCATCGTTTTCATCAACCGAGCTACTTTGGACTCCGAACGTCACTGGATTCATCTCGATCTCTAGGCGGGTAGCATCGTGTAGTGTATCAAACGACCGGGTACTTGTGGGGTACGAAATTTCGGATTTTTCCCGACGACAAATCTCTTGAGCATTTTGCCAAGGTGGGAAGAACAATGCCCGTGTTTCGCGTTAACTAGAATTTCTTGCCGCCTACGATTACACTCTCGAGTACCGCAAGTGTTCCACGCATGGCAACGCTTACTTCCTTTCTCACTTGCCGATACATCCAGCCGAATGTGACCGATCTGGTCGCAGCCGCTTGATCCCGGCTGAGGTTGAGGAGACCGTTTTTTTTATTCATTCTTGTGGCTTTACACCTTCCGGTCATCGGGCCGCGGGTGTTGGCTTGGGTGGGCTAGTCCAGACTTCCCCGACTTCGGTCTTGGGTGGGCTTTCCCCCTCCACGGCTGACTTTGCAGATTTCCGTCGTCACGGTCCGCATCTCCCGCCATCAGACTCAACGGCGTCTGGAACGGCGCCTCCTGGCCTTACACGACGCTCGGCATTTCGTCCTCTTCGACAATCCCCAATCGTCCTGCTGTCGTTTCGTCCGCCTCTCGGCATCAGTCTTCGGATGATATTTTTGCTCTCGAACCTGAGCTTCCGTCGCGACCGTTCCGTCAGTTGCCACACCACGTCGAACCCTCGATTCTACTCAAGTGAATTCCACGCGAGCTCGCCGCCGCATGGCGGTTGTGGCAGGCACGCCGCTCCCGCGTGTTGATTATGGTTTCTCTGACGACCCGCCTTCCCTGCCTCTCACACAGATTTCCGTGTCGCCTCAACCGTTTCGACGGTCTCCGTCGACGTCCTCGGCACCGTCGCGACTACCCCAGTGCTACCAAGTTCGGTTTCGACTACTTGAACTGGTGTTATCCCCAAATCCCTTCGCGCCTCTGGCTCATGGATTGGATTCTGTGTGACGCGTACTGCAACTTCGGTTGCTCCTGCTTTGCAATACTCTGCAGCCCCGGACTCTCCGGAGTCCCCGCCGACTTCGGTTTCGACCGCTCGCGCGAGTTCGCCTTCGGCATCCACTGCTCTACCTTTGGAAGGGTTGCAGTTGACGCCTGCAGAGTCGGCCCCCTCTTCCATCGAGGCGGCTTTGCATTCTTCGACGGACCTGGACGTCCGGGCGTCTGTCGAACGCTTCTCGCATGCTTATTGGGCTCGCGAGCAACGCAACGAACTGTGGACGATGCAGCATTTCGTTTCATCCTACAGGGTCGGCCTCTGGTCATTCCTTCGGATTTTTTGGATCATGTTCCGTCCGCTCGTTGACCTTCTCTGTTGGAGAATTGTGACCTGTCTAACAAAGGCCGCTTACACGTTGACGATGATGGTTTTGTCTTGCTTGTTCGCAAGTCGACAGCGCCCTCATCTCCTACATCCGCACGTCCTGGCGGACGTATTGCTCGCGCCCTCGACGATTATTTGATCCGGATTTATGTTCCCAAGCTCATGCGTCCGCGGGTCATGCAAGTCTGCCACGATGACGCGTCCAGCTACTTCAGTGCAGCTCGCACGCCTAGCATGCTGGAACGTTTTGTTTTTGTGGGTTGGCATGAGTGTATGCACGAAGTTGTGGGTGCGGCATTGTTTGTGATGACAAGCTCGCAAATCATCTCGTCAGACTTCTCGGCGATCTACTTGGTACCTTTTGTTGCCGAAGGGCCCTGGTGTGTCGATGAGTGTCGACTACTTCGGTCCCCTTCCGTTGGCACCATGTGGAAACACATGTAATGTATTTTCACAGACCGCTTCAGCCGCCGTGCTGATGTGTACGCGGTTACGGCTGCAGAATTCACCGTCAAAGGCACTGCTGACATTCTCGTCAACCGGTCTATCCCTTTGTGGGGTTGCCCGTTGAGTCTCTTATCTGACAACGACTCCCAGTTTTGTTCTAAACTGTCGCAGGCTGTGTACGCCCGGCTTGTTATCCGCAAAGTGGCTACTAGCTCTTGCCACCACGAGAATTGGGGTATGGAGCGTGCCAATCACACGATGGCTCAGATGTTAGCTAAAGGGGTCAACGAGAGACAATATGAGTTGAAACTCATTTGCCGCACGTCGAGTGTGCCTACAACAATTCGGTTTGTGCAGCTACTGAATTAGAGCCCAACGAGGTGCACATGAACCGATTGCTGCGTTTGCCGATGACTGTCCTTGAGCATCCCTATGCTCGCGGCCACCAAAGCTTGAATCGTGATCAACTTACTACGTTGCTGTTGATCGCCAACGTCGTTCGTACGAGTTGGTGTGTGAACAGCACAACCTGTCCGTTTCGCGGATCGAGCGGCGAAATTCCGCGCTTTCGGGTGCTTTACGTAAGCTTCCCTTTTACATCGTAGGTGGGTGGGTCTCGGTGTACAACTCAAAATCCATTCTCCGCCTAGGTATTCGGTCAGGTACGGATGACACGGTCCTTACATGCAAGTTGTCTTTTCTCTGGACTGGCCCGATCACAGTTTTGGCTGTGGTCTGACGCCCCTTTGGTCGTTTTTGGCGTCCACGTGGCTCTACTTCGATCTCCCGTCGGACCTGCCGGGCCAAGACTCGACACTTCGTGTGTCAGTTGTGCGTTAACAGCCTTGCGCTATTCCGCATGACATAGATAACCTGCGATCTCCCACAGTATTTGACAAGATTTCTGTCTGCTGGTCTTATCCCGGGCGTGCTGAACTCTTATGCGAACAAATCTCCTCCCTACCTTGTTACGGAAGACGACGTATCGACTCCGGTCAAACGCCTCGAGGTTGAAAGCATACAGCTGACACCAGCGAGTTCGTGGTCGTGGTGGCCCTATGGTAGTCTAATACCAGACACACTGGACAGGTCTTCTTCAGTATTGAACAGGTTCGCCTGACCGACATTACCAAACGAACCGTCGATATCGTGTGATGTGCATCGGTGCAGCTACCCGTGAATTAGCTCGCGCTAAAGAGACAGAACTTTACCTTCAGGCTGCTCGCTCGTCCCTCGTTCTACATGGGACCGTCGCGTCGCCCCTACCCCTCTACCTGCGGGTTCCTTCTTCTGGTACAAACCGCACGCTCTGGTGGTCGCAAGGTTTCTGGACTGCACCTCCCGTCCGCTTCTTGGACGACCCTGGGCCAGTGAAGCTCGCCCTTCCCGATGTTCGCTACTCCACTATCGAAGCCACCGTGTCTGGATGCTGATGCCTCCAAGTTCACAGCGGCCGCGCCCTTTTCAAGGATGCCCTTCGCAACATCGACATGTCGCGTGGCGGCGTAGTGAACAACTCATTGCCTGAGGACTTCGTACGCCCCCTCGTTGCCTGAGGACGTCGTGCGCTACCTTTAAGATGACATGCTTGGTGGCTTTTGCCTTCTGTTCTTAGCTTTATTCTATTTCGTTTTCTCGTCTTTTTCTTTTTGGCTTCATCAGTCTGCCAGGTCGAGCCTTCTCTGTTACTTGCCGCGGTTTTGCCAGTTATTGTTCGGTGTCGTCACCCGTTTTTTCTTTTCTTCGCTTCCGGAACGTTTGGTTTCAGGCCTTTTTGGTACATTGTGGTGCTTTTGTACGTTTTCGACTTCTTTTCGTCTCGACGTCTTCTCTTCTCAGAGTTTGCGGGCTGTACAATTGTAGGTGTTTCATGACCTTCACCTTGTTGTCGCTCCCACGCTACCGCGGTGGTTGTTTGGCATATCTCATCGTTTTATCGATACGGGTCTTTTCGTCGTTTCGACGACGTCCCTATTCTTCGTCGTTCCGACGACATTTGGTGTTTTCGTTGTTCCGACGACGTTTGTTCCTCTTCGTCGTTCCGGCGACGCTTTTTTCTTTCGTTTCTTTTGTGTCTTCTTTTCCCCTTTCTTTTGGGTTAAGACCTGTTACGGTATTTGTAGCCTTCGCCTGCTGCGTCTCTCCCGTTGGTTTATTCCTTCCTATACCTACTTTTGTTTTAGAGGTCAATCGATGGTCTCGCGACTCATCGAGTGAGAGGTGTGAGAGGGTGAACTGTGGTATTTTGGAGCTCCGCATCCTCGATACTCTCATTTGGCATTCGACAAGAAATGGTCAAGTTCGGAGATGTACTCATCTGCTCATGAGAACTTCCAGGGCGGGTTATTGTTATGGAATCTGAATGTGTAGGAAAGTACCAACGGTAGTGCGGGCTAATGCCCAGAGGAAGTTATGTGCGGGAGAAAGATGTTACTCCCGATTGATTGAAGGACGAAGCAGGGCACAGGACCTTGTAGCCCCTGTTAGAGGGAGATGGTCTGCCCCCAGATGCTGAGTCTGCCACACAGAGCAAGGAAACAGAACGCGCTGCTGTCCAAAGAGAGACATGAATCAACAAGTGAGTCTTCGCCAGGGTGTTCAGGGATTCCTACGCGTGTCAATACTACAACACAGAAATGAGAAGGCGAGGGAGAGAAATCATCAGCAGGGTGGATGCGGCAGCCCAAAGGAATGAGAAAACCATTTTTGAGAAAATTGACGACTTCGACAGGTCGTTCCACCCAAAACAAGGAATTGAGGCTCGACACGATGTGGGCATTTCTTACCTCCGGGTCCATTCTGTACGATTAATTTTCACAAGTGTACTGGGAGGCAGCCAAAAGCACCGACCCTCACGTAAAAAAAGAAGTTGTTCGTATGCATATGAACTTAGTACGTATTATTCGGAATACATACAGTGCGTCTCCCTAATTCCGCCCATGGGTACCCAACCCATGGGTACCCATGGGACGTCCCATAGGCACCCACGGTGAAAGCGCCCATGGTGCCCACCGTGGGTGCCCCGGGTACCCATGGGCCGCCCACAGGTGCCTATGGGGCGCCCCATTGCAACCCGTGGCCACCCATGGGACGCACCACGGGCGGTTTCACCGTGGGAACCCATGGTGCGTCCAATGGGTTCCCATTGGTACCAATGGGTACCCATGATGCGACCCATGGTGCGTCCCATGGGCGGAATTAGAATAATGTACTAAACCCGTTCACAATAGTCTACAGTAGCTCCAACGACAACTACAGCATCGAAAATGCATGGAGCCGCCTGGAAAAACACACTGCTCCACCTTTGAAAGTCCTCTCCTGAACGTATCGTCTGGACTACAC